CACATAACAACAACAACAACAACAACATACCCAGGACCAAATCCTATTCAAACCCTGTTGAAATTTTAGAAAATTTATAAAATGTCAAAAGGTGAAATTATCTCGAGAGATAGATAGATAGATAGACAGACAGACAGACAGACAGACAGATAGGTAAAGACTGATGAGCCTTGACTAATTGTCTAATTTTAAGTAATCGAAATGGAAAAAGTTGGCTTTTTCAGGATAAAAATACTAAATTTTGCACTTAGATGGGTTAAAATAAGAAGAATATAGGCCATTGTTAAATTAATTTTCTAGGACAAATAAAAATGTTTTAGTATCAGTATGGTTTTGGAAACTAAGATCATTTAGAATCATGCCATTTTACCCCATATATATTAAAGTCTGCTTTGAAAATACCAACTTAACATATATAAGCTTCTATCAATAATAAACTATAACTATTGCTTTGATTTTTAAGGTAATTTATTTCACATATTAAAAATACATACATAACCCCTCATGGAAAATGCCACTCAATTCAATTTTTTAAAGTTATAGGGAGGCAACTTCTGAGTTATCAACATAACGTTATTTTCATGGTGTTCTAAAGAAGAATAAAAATCAACTTACTTGATGTAATAGGGCACTTTATTATGTGAGATGGACCTCTGCCACGGCAGCTGGACTGAAGCTGGGGGGAAAAAAGGGAGGTTACTGGGACCTCTGCTAACCCAAAAGTCTCCCACTTTAATGCAAAACAACTGAACTCGTTTCATAGCAAATTCAAAGAGGGGGCTCTGTTCCTGTAGCCGCACTCCTGTAATTATGACATCAGCTGGGCCAAAACAAAGAATGGATTTAAAGGTTCTCTGAAGGGAGGCAAAGAAACAACACGATTCCATTTCTAGCGTCAATCCTAAGAAACTGAACATGCTGATAAATACAATGTTTTAAAAAATCGAGTTCTATTTTTTTTAATGGCTTAGAAAAACATTACAATTTAAAATGGAAAACTCAGTGCCAGCTGGAAACTTCATTCTATAATTTTTTTTTTTTAACTGTGATGTGAGTGAACACTGACAAGGCCGCTTATTGGGTTCTACTCCACAATAATCATTCATGAACTTTTTTTATAAAACAAAATCTAAAATTAACTTTTCTTGGTGTATCCAAATTAAAATCTAGAGGTCTTAAGGCTGATGTCTCTAGATTAATTCATAGCACTCTTCACTTGGGTAACATTCACATGAAGCGCTGCTTAGTAGAGATAGCATTAATGAGATAAATATTAATTATAATAATTATATAAATTTAATTACATGAAATACAAAAGAGGCAATTAAAATAAAAATAGTCACAGAGTGGCAAATAACGGAGGCAATTATCAAAACTGAGGAATTCTCAAATACTTCTTTTCATTGGAAATGTACAGAGATTATCTTATACTTAATTATTACAACTGAGGTTTTGCTATCTCAATTTTTACAAAGATATTTAAACTTTTTTTAAAACTTTGGTTACTCCTTACTTATAAATAATATTACCCAATAGTAAACCAATAATTTATAGCCTCACTTAAGAACATCACCACTCATAAATCTAGAGCTATTACAGAATTTCACTAAACAGACAAGCTAATTCAAATAAACCTTTTAAAATATCTTTAAAACTTAAAACAGTCAATTGTTACCAATGCTTTTCCTGAATTTTTTTTTGCATCATAGCATTTTAAGTTTTTCATCCTACTTAGTCAACATTTATTTGACATAATTTTTTTCCCTTTTGCCTTGATTTACTTTCTTTTTATTATTAATTTTAATGAACATTTACAGAAACTTTGGATTTCTAGTCATTCATTATTGCATTTTTCACCTGCCCCCCCAATTTGCTCTTTTCTTTGAAAAGTAAAAGAAAAATTCTTTCATTGTTATACAGTCCCTCTCCCCAAGTCCACTCCACTATGCAGCTTTTATCATGGACTCCTGTCATAATAATACTTAATCATATATAGCTTTTGACATTCTTTTAAAGAACATCACAGGACAATGAACCAGATGTTGGAAGTAAAACTATTATTAAGATCTCTGCATACAACAGGCTAGTTAAGAGACTTCACTGTGGTTTAAATGCGTGTTTATTTTTTAAGCTTTTTATAGAATTTGGGTAAATACTTCCACAGCAAGTTGGTTTCTTGTTCAGTAATTCGTACATTGTTTTGTGACATTACTTGCAATCCTCAAGATGTCAAAGCATCCTGCTGCTCCATCCACGTGCTACCCTTTCGAGTCATCCTTCTTTCCAATCTTGCTTTCAGAGTTTAGAAAAGTCCAAAGCCACCTTCTTGATCTCCTTTGGTGGAATGTTCTGGGAACTGTGAATTACCTGCTGTTATTGTTCACCTGATCAATCAAGTAATATATCTTCTGATAAGGAAGCCAGCAAGAAACACATTAGTGTTCCACCTGACAGATGGATGGGAAACTCAACACACAGAGGTGAAATCATTTGCCCAAACGCCCACAGCCAGGCAAGAAATGGCAGAGCTGAGCCACAGTATCAGCATTTCTGACGCCAGTTCAACAATTTTTGTACTCACACAAAGGCAAGTATTTTCTTTTCCAACTATGTCCATGTACAGTATAAAAAAGGGATGGAAATGAGGAGCTAGTTCTAGTAAATTTCTCATTAGAGCCAACCTCATTTCACTGCTGGCAACTGGCTACTCGGTCAGTTTTCATTTTGTGCCTAAATAAACAGGCTCCTTGTATAACTGTGGGTAATGTCCAAGCCAGAACACATCCACGGATTCTAAGCACCAAGGGGCAATAATTATTATATTTAGTAATTGGGATTTTTGTCTCATTTCTCTGTTGGCCTTAATAATGGTTTTGATTTGAATAACTGTGGCCTCCCTGGAGAGCCAGTGCCAAGACCATAAAAGGCAGTGTACTTGAGTGAAGAACATGAGTTTGATTATTATTATTATTAGAGAAACTAGAGTTTTCCCTCAATACTAATAGAAGACTGATCTTTACAACAGAACCATAAAAATGATCTCAACGACTTTTCAAAATTCCTTTTTAATTTGGTCTCAGGAGATAGCTTTATAGTTTACAAAATCAAGCTTAAGAAATCTGCAGGAATTAATGTATAATAAATACATCAGAAACCAATTTACTTTTTCAACAATGATGGGACCCCAGATTTAAAATACATCCGTCACCTAAGTTGACAGTGTGTCCAAGGAAAGAGTACACATTTCCAAAGAGAAATTATCTAAGGGTTCACGTTTATAAAGCAGAAAAATAGTATTATCCATAAATGCACTCATATGAATGAATCTGTGTGTGTGTGTGTGTCTGTGTGTGTGTGTGTGTGTGTGTTTGTAAGGACAAGAAGTAGATAACTTGTATTTTTGATAGTGTGAAAATAAAAAAAAACCCTTTCATTTTAATTGAGGCAAAGCAGATTAAAACAAAGTGATGAAGAGATTAAGAGAATATACAAATATAAGACATTTAATTAAAGGGAAAGTTAACATGACTGTCAAATGAGCTTTCTCCTAAGTTTTAAATTTTACTTAAGTGGGTTTAATTTAAATTAAATAAACTCTTTCTTACATATGTTGGCCAGAGGAGGAAATAAATGGAATTAACATTTACTGAAACCATCTGTGCCAAGAACTGTGTTAGGTGCCTGTTGAAACTCCATAGGTTTTGTTCATTTAATTCTCTAGGCGGCCATAGGAAGGAGGTATTTATGACATTTTAAGTTGAAATTAACTTTCAGAGATCCATAGCTCTGTTACAAGGCAGGATTCTGGTTTAAAACTAGGCTGCGAAATCTAAATCCCACATTCTTCAACTGCCTTCAGAAGGAATCTTATAAACAATAAAGATGGATCTCAAATTATGTATTCAAGATCTCATGAGGAGTCCACAAAATTAAAAATTCCTGTTAGAGGATATTACATTAAAATCTACAATGTGGTTTAGCTACATGTACATTGCTTGACATGAAGAAAAATGAAGTACGACTGCAGAAAATCTAAAAAAGAATTAGCTCAAGAGTTCTGGCTGGAGCTCAGGTGGCCTAGTGGCAAGAAGCTGCATTGCACCCAGAGGTACGCAGTTCCAATCCACCAGATGCTCTGCTGGAGACAGAGGGACAATCTCCTCCTGTACCAGACAGATCCAATTTGATGGTACACACACACACACACACACACACACACACTAATAATAAAAGGGACAATCTCCTCCTGTACCAGACAGATCCAATTTGATGGTACACACACACACACACACACACACACACACACACACAATAATAAAATTTTTAAAAAATGAAAAAAAAAAAAGAGTTGTAGGGGTGGGCATTTTTTTCCTTTTAACATTGCTGGTGTGTCTAAAAGTGAAGGTGCCCTTTTCAAGGTGTAAAGTGAATTTTACAATTTAAAAAAGAAAAAAAATTTACATTTTTTGTGAAGATAGTCACAGGATTTGTCTACGACAGGCAGCGAGGATAGGACACTATGAGTTATCACAGCATAAGGTCTATTGAAAACTCCTATGAGTTACCTCAGTACAAGGTGTAGTGAAAACTCCTAACTCCAGAGGAGCTCACTGCTAATCTACATTGATGACTCATCAATTATGACTTGGCAAAAAGCAACCAACAGACAGTATCATCACTGATGTTAATGTTTCCCTTTATACATTTTACTTAATGTAAAGAACTATATTGAGAAGGAAGAATGTTGCTGCTTGAATGAAAGACAGGATGCTAATTTGTTTAGTTAATGAGATCAATTGAGTTGATGAGCACTTACTAGAGAGAAAATGCTGGGAGGATGGGCCAAAGTCTCGGTGGGCTTCCTGAAGCTGGACGAGGCGCTCATCCACTGACACCTGGACACATACAGAAGATGGAGAAAACGGGGTTTGAAATGCTGACTTTAACAGTATCTATTATAATAAGCGATGCTCTTGTCCAAGATATGATGGCTAGTACTAGAGACAAAGACAGTCTTCTGCAAGTTTGTTTCGTATCACTTTGCTTTTACAAAAGATTTACATTAGTAGTACCTAGTTTCACGAAATGGAAAGAGATCCAAGGAGGATTCCCACTCAAGAGAAAATGAAATGAGCACTGGGTATTTGCTTTGCGGTGAGCAGTTAAAGAGGGCGTTCACTCATGCAACGAGAATGGCACCTGCCAGCTCTTTCCTCAGAAACTACACTTGGGATTTGAGAGCCAAGGCTTCACAGCTGTAAACAGCATTTGTGATAGATGGACACATTCTTCTCCAACTTCATGAAATATGCACAGATAGGAATACCTTATTTCCTTTCCCCATGTAGTATAGAGTGAAAAGCCATGTAGGTATGCAATGTCTTTTTCCCCCTCCAAGGTAGTGTCTAAGCATGTAAACCAAGGGATATTCAGTTGCTGGTTTGTGTTGTTGCTAGATGTTGTCAAGCAGGCTCTGAACCATAGAAACTCTAAGTTTAGAAGAAGAAACCATTGCCCTGTCCTGCATTCTCCTCATAATCAATGCTGTTTCAACCCATCATTGAATCTACTGTATTCGTTTGCTATCTACCAAGAATGAGGTTGCGTTCCATGGACCGAACCCTCCTGACAACTTGTTCAAAGTATACTTGCTATCCTCTCTTCTATGGGGTATGCTGCGCTTCTTTCTAAACCAGTTTGTTTGTTCTTCTTGCCGTCCATGATATATTCAACATTTCTGGCCAGCACCACAACTGAAACGCACCCACTCTTTCTCTGTATTCCTTACTCATCACAAAGCTTTTGCCTGCATATGAAGCCACGGAAAATAGTATCACGTAGGTCAGGCAAATCTTAGTGCTCAGGGTGGTGTTTTGCTTTTTAACATGCAGCCCAGGAGCAGTGGAAAAGTTTAAAAGGACAGCAAGCTATAAATATTGGAGAGAATGAAGAGAGATTAGAACTCTCATGCACTGCTGCTGGGATTGTAAAATGGCACAACTATTGTGGAAGACAGTTTGGCGTTTCCTCAAAATGTTGAACACAGAAATCCCCTATGACTCAGTTATTGTACTGCTGGGAATATAACTATATCCCAAGGAAATGAAAACTGAGACATGAATGGAGATATGTACACTTGTGCTAATAGCAGCATTATTCACAATACCAAGAATACGGAAATAGCCCAAATGTCCATCATTAAATGAATGGTTTGGGCAACACTAAACAATAATGATTTTGTAAAGTCCTCTATAATGTGGGAGTCTAGAGACCATGATGCTGAGTGAACTAACTCAGGGTCTTAAGGATAAATACTACCTAAGACTGTTATTGTAAAAATGGAAGGACCACCAGTAAGATGTAGAGAAATGTCCTGAGTGGGAAGAGGGTCAGGAGAAGGGGACAGAAATGGGGGAAGTGTTAGGATAAGAGTGTGGTTGGATTTTGCAGGGGTGTGAAGAATAGGAAAGATTTAATGGGGACTTGAAAAGATGAGGTAAAAAATAGAAATAGATGAATTGTAATTAATTATATAAAATAGAATACATAAGAATGATTGCACAAAACAATGTAAATGGAAGATTGTATAAAACACAATGTACATGAATGAAATACACTGTAAATGAATGATTGTATCAATCATTATGTTAAGTCTTTTGTAGCCGACCTGCCCAGTGCAACACATCCTTTGGTTTCTTGACTCCTGCTTCTTCCACAGATGTTGACTGTGGATCCAATTAAAAGGAAATATTTAAAAATAAATAAATATGCTCTAAATCTAGTTATGCATACTCTACAGTTATGCTACCAACAGAATAAAAATGTGGCAGAGCTGCTGGAGTGAAAAACCAATGTAAATCAGTAACAACTGCACATGGTTTATCGATGCCAATTTTGGTCCCTGGTCTTTACCTATGTGGCATTTGTGGTTCCACTTGGATTGTCAATCTTCTTTTCAGTTGCCTGTCTTTCAGTGTGTGCTTCTGGGTCACTGGGCAGTTAGATTTCTCCTGAAGCTCTTTATATAGCGTTAGTGTGTACTTTGTTCCTCTAGGCTATAAGCATCCAAATGCTACACTTTAAATTCAGAAGGAATAAAGAAGACGCTATACCTTCAAGCTAGCATTGCTGAAAACACAGATTTCCCCATTTCATCTAACCACCAACTAACATCATAGCTTAGGGGGTTACCAGGATCAGCAACAGGACGGCAGCTTACACATCTGCTTTCAAGTGTAACAATATCTCTGATTTCTAACCTTTAAAGAGTATGAGACCAGAAAAATGGAAATAAAATCAAGATGGACTATAGGAACACTTACATGAAGAAAAAAGAATTGGAGAAAAGGAATAGAAGAGAAAAAAAAAAAAGATCAAACCAGTTTATGGTCCATTCACTAGAAAACAAATATGAGTCCAGTGGATTCTGCCCTGATGATTCCAGATGAGTGGTGCTCCTTTCAAGGACAGCAAAAGATTCACACATGCAACATTCTAATTTCTTACCTCTTCAAAGACACAATGAAAATATGAAACCATTATATATGTCAATTCGTCCAAGAAACGTATACTACAGACCCTGGAGGAGTTGGAATGACACAGTGACTAGGGTAATAGGGTAGGTGTGTCAGAGATAATGAGATTGGCTCAGGATAGGGCAGTGTTCAGAGCTACTGTTCATAGGGTTGCTACGAGCCACAAGCAACTCGACAGCACATAACACAACAGTGGCACAGTGGTTAAGTCCTCAGTTGCTAACTGCAATGTCCTAGGTTCAAACCTGTAAGCTGCTCAGTTGTTGCAGTGATATGGCACCTGCTTCTGTAAAGATGCAGAACCTTGAAAACCTAATGGCAAACTCACTGGCAATTCTGTCCTTTAGTCTAAATCACCTTGATGGACCGATTTCTTATATCATTTTATACCTCTTGAAAAATAGTATTCTATATCAAAAGTACATACACATCTTAATAGTTAGGATATTTGATACCACATTTTAACCTAATAGAGAACTTAGAAAGACTTCATTCCCCTGCCTCCCCAGTTTTCAATACAATTTATCTTGTTAGATTTTAGGGGGAGTGAAGATTATGAAGCCAAAGAGCTGGGCACTGACTGTGAAAAAGCTCTTGACTGGCAGCCTGCAAATGCTGATGCCTACCCAGGCTCTAGAGGGTCCTCCTTGGTTCGGTTCAGCTATACCCAAGACAAGGCTTAGAGTCATTAAAACAACTGTCTTAATTCAACCATGAACTAAGATATCTTTAATGCTAAGGTGCACCTGACCCAAGTCATGATCTTTTCAATTGCTGCAGGTGCATCAGAAATCCAGAGAATGAAAAAGGAGGAAAATTGTTTCATTCTAAGTATTTATGAAGAATACTGTCTATACCCCAGACTTCCAGAAGAACAAACAAATCAGTCATAGAATAAATACAACTGGAACGCATCACAGAAGCAAGAAATTATCAGAAGACCAATTGCTGAAAAAGATTGGTGAAGTGGAATGTCTGCAAAACATTAAGATAGTTCTGTGAGATGACTGACCCAAAAGTGGTCCAATAGCAATGGGCTCCAGGATACCAGTGACCATGGAACTGCATAGGACTGAGGGGAATCTTGTTCTGTTAAAACAGAATTTTGTGATTGGCGAACCCTCGGTGATGATTTTGGCAACTCTTGGGTGAGGCTCCCCCCCCCCAAAAAAAAAAGATCTAAGAACTAAAGGTAAACACTGCAATAGCACAAACATGTCATCTTGGGGAAAATGACCCAGTTACCTAAGAAAGAAGCAGATGGAAGAAGAAGAATAAATATTTTCTTAATTTCTTTTCTTCAGTAGCAAAAAACCATCTATATTTCTATATATCTAAGGTATAATAATGATTTCTTTATGAAACATTATGGAAAAAATATTTCTGAACCTACTACAAGTTATAATTGTGAATATTTTAATGTAATTTTTTCTAAATATTGTACAATTGATATCTAAAAATAGTACATTAAGAGCTTTTTAAATAATTGTAGCCTTTGAACTCAAGATACTAAAAGTTTAATAATTGATGCTGTTACATGCTCAGTTCTTTATCAAATGCAGTCGAAAAGGAGAGAAAAAATGATGGATGGTAGAACACTGAGATTTGGCTTAAAAACCAACCAGGGTGTGAACACAAACTTGGGGCAAAAATGAACAGATACCTGTAAAATTTTCCATCTCATATTAAGGTCATCCAACTGGCGCGACATCTTTATAGACGGGTGCAGGTCAAGTGGAGAGAGCTGACTGGATAAATCATTCATAGTTTTTACTTTTAAGTTGATTGGTGCAATTTCTTCTCTAAATGCCTAGAAGAAATGGGTGAAAATGATATCAGAATATAATGAAAGCGAATAAGGGCAGAACTAAAGGTACTGCGCCCTTGATTCCAGACCGCTGCAACGATGTAGCAAAATCAAACCGATCACATGATTTGATTATTGCTTTCTCAGTTCATGTAAAACTTACGTTTATACTGTATTGTACTCTATTAAGTGTGCAGTAGTATTAAAAAAGGTTTGAAATAGACCAAAAATTACCAAAATGTGACACGGAGACTCAAAGTGAGCATATGCTGCTGGGAAAAAAGTGGTGCCAACAGATCTACCTGACACAAAGCTTCAATCTGTAAAGAAATGAAGTAACAGGAAGTGGAAAATAAAGCCCGGCAGAGCCAAATGAGGCACGCCTGTACTTCCGCCCTTCCTTCAAGGGCAACTCCAAGGCCACCTCTGAAGCCATCAGCTACACAAAACAAAACAAAGAACAGACAACATTCACTCTTGTGGGGTTAATTCTTATGCAGAGCAAATCCACTCATGTGAAGAGAGAAGGCACTCTAAAAGGTTTTCAGTAGCTTATTTTCTGGAACTAGATTGCTAGATCTTTTATCTCAAAATCAGGTATGTAGCATTGAACCTCTACTGGTTCAGTTAATCTCAGCACCACCCAGGGATTCTACAGAAATCTGTCATAATTCAGGTTTTTATTAACCCAGATTACCAAAGTCACCCTTCCCAGGGCATCTAACTATTTAAGAAGAATAATTGTAATTTTGTGCGTGTGTGTGTTGTGTTGTATACTCTCAAGTCAGAACTGACCCATAGCTGACCTTCCAGTACATTTTTCAGAAGCAGTTAATCTCACTGGAGGAGACTGCCCATCCTTCTCCTGTGGAGAGAGAAGCTGGTGGATTTGAACCGACTGCCTTCGGATTTGGAGTGCAGCTTCTTGCCATTAGGGCACCAGTCTTTTAAATTCTTAATATTTCTGATATTCTTCTTAAGGACAAATAAGTGTGCACTTTTTATTATCCACTTACTAATTCCAACTTTTGATTATGTTTTTAATTTCCTTTTCACCCTCCTCATTCAAATGTCTACCTTAATGTTTTTACCTGACGCAACAACTCGATCTGAACTTGTTAAGTCAGAGAGTCACCAGTAAAAGCCGCTTTCCTAATCACAAAATCTATGCCTATTACATACCCGAGGAGAAGGTTTTTCCCTTTCAAAATCACTTATGTTCACTGTCTGTAGTTAGGGGTGGGGCAGGAAGATAGGGTACTATAGAAAAAGAGGTAAGTGAGGCTTTGAATTGGCAAATGCCACCTCTGGACACAGAACAGAGAGATGGTGCAGGAAGGAGGAGGTTAGGAGGATGACGGAAGGGCAGGGGGGAAGCAAGAACAAAGGAAACTCTTGGACTCAGAAAAGAAAGTAACCATTCTCTTCCCTTAATACCTCACGTATAGTCTAAAAATAGTCTTTATTATGCAGTTTTTATTATTATTATTACTATTATTGGTTGTGGTGTACCGAGACAGAATCAACCATAGCAAACACTCCACCTGGTTTTCAGAGGCAGTTAAGCACACAGGGGTTCACTGTCCATCCTTCTTCCACAGAGCTGCTGGTGGACTTGAACCACGTACCTTTTATATATGGGCTGCCAGTGCAACTCCTTACCAAGAGACACCTGATTAATAAAAAATACCATATATATATATAAAAGAAGGAAACTATTCCTCAAAGCCCCACGGAACTGCTCTGTTGGAGATGACCAGTAAACTGCAAAAGCAGTTCGGAGGCTCCAGGTCTCAATGGCAGGTAAAGATGCCGGGCGTAGCAGTACGTGCATAGGGGACAACTAGTGGGAGAATCCTGCAAAGAAACCACATTTCCAAAGTAGGTGGAAGAGGGAAAGCTGCAAAAGACAGAAGACTTGCTACAAAACGAGAGGAGAAGGAAGTTAAGGGTTGTGATGTTTGGTGTTGATCATTCTATTGAGGCTGGAATCGCATAGAAGGGTTTCTGGTGGTATCTGAAGGGCCTTGATAGCATAGTGGTTAAGCACTTGGTTACTACCTAAAAGGTTAGTAGTTCAAACCCACAAGCTTTTTCAGGAGAGAAACACATGAAATGCATGAGGCAGGTCTACTATATGCTATAAGGTAACCAAGAGTCCGTATCAACTCAATGGAAATGGATTTTGATTTTTTAGGATGTGTATACTTAGAGAAATGTACAAATACCGTTAAATTTTAAAAATAGCAGTGCTAAAACCGAAGCCATATAGTCCAAAAGAATTAACAATTCATATATAAGCCCTAGAAAGATGCAAGGGAGCTCTGCTGGCCTACTGCTAAGATGCTTGCTGCAATCCCAAAGGCACATGGTTTGAGTCCACCAGCTGCTTGAAGAGGATGCGTAACTTCCTCCTGTGTGAGTTACTGCCTTGGCAAACCTGCTGGAGGATCAGCTATGGGTTGGTTCCAATGTGATGACAAAACACCACCATCAAGACAGATGTAAGTGGGAAGAGGATGAGAAGAGAGCTTCAGGCTAGAGGGGCCTGGGTTCCCTGAAAATCAGCTGGAAATAATTATGGAACTTAAATCTTTCAAGATTTTTCTGGCCGTAGTTCTAATATTGCACATTAATATTCTCACTGTGGGTACCTGGGAGGACTCTAGAATTTTAATCAGCTGTTAAAATCAACATCATTGTATTTTTTTTTAGCTGTTGGAGAGTACAAATTCAATGTTAGAAGATGTTCTGAGATTTATAGAATTTTAAATAATAACTGATTTCAAGAAGGTGGTGCAAACATTTCTCTAATTAGATTATTACTTTAGAATAGATTTTAAAAGTGCTGTAGAATAATAGAATTTTCATTTGTATCCTGTCAACAAAAATGTTTTGTCATTCCAAGCCACAGGTGAAAACATCAGGAGATTTTTGATAAACAAGGTCTTTGGATTTTACTTGCTGTTTTTATGGTCGAGTGTTTTATGGCAATGCGAATCTTTCATTATAGGGAGAAAATGGTTTTGTTTTTTAAAAATTTCTGCATTAAGAGGCTTGGAACAAATTAAGTTTTAAAATGGTTTCAGGACTGTTGTGAATTCTAATATAAAGAGCTCTATCTATCACGTTTAGGCTGTACTTTCCCACGAGAGAATAGGTCTGTGCCATTTTCTTACTATGGAAACAGAAACATCTGGTAGCGTTAACAGTGCTGATTGGCAGCCCACGGGCAGATGTGAATGCCAAACCCTTTTCCAGATGTCTAGTGTGCAAATGAGAATGGTTAAGGAAAACTTTAGGGACGTTTGTGTTATTCTCTTACCTTGATTTTATGTTTCAGCTGCTCAGTATTTTACGTGGGTATCAACTCATTAGTATTTGGTAGTAATCAATAAATATTTTTTTCACTTGCTTATAGTTAGAGGAGGTTTTTTGCTGAGAGGCTCAATTTAAAAAAATAAAAGTGGCCCCTGGTGGAGCAAATAAGTTTGAACTTGATTGCTAACCTTGGAGAAACGGTTTATGCTGGAAAAGGTGGAGGGCCAGTGAAAGAGGAAGACCCTTAACAGGATGAACAGACACAGTGACTGTGAATATCAGCGATGAGTGAACTTGAACTTGGCACAAAATAGGTCAAGGGTTAGATTCAGTGCTCACAAGGTCTCCATGAGTCAGAGTCAATTTTACAGCACATAAAACCAGCAATGAACCCACCCAGTTACACCATGGAGGAAACACACGTGGATCTGCTTCGGTAAAGACGACAGCCAAAATACCTACAGAGTACAAGTAGAGAATGACTATGCAAATCCATGGGGTTGGCAGGAGTCTGATTCAACTCACTGGCTGTGCTAGATTTGGGTTTTAATTTTTTTAAAAAAATTGTTTCTATGAAATCTGAAGTATATTATAGAACACAAAATACTAATCTTACTAAAAAACTTTGAGCTATTCCCCCCCCCAAATAAGATCTTCAAATAGTTTAATTCAGTTTTTTAATTCTTCCCTCGTAAAACATTAACGTTGGTCTTGCCTAGCTTTCCATTGAAGCAAAGACTGGATTAAAAAGATTTTGATGTTTAAAAAGATTTTGGTTTTTTCCTTTAATCAAATAGGAATAACAATTCCCAAATACAAGCTTTAATAAGTCCAGATACAACTCTTTTTATCCTACTCTTTCCATGAAGTAATACTTCCCAAGTCAAATAAGTACATGCTTACCATAACTCAAAAGCATTCTGGAAGGTCAATAGCACATTTTTTTTCTTAAAAAATAAAACCACTGTCTTGAAGATTTTCTGTGTTTTAAACCCATTCTTATATAAATGAGATGCAAAGTTTCAAAGAAGCTATGCTAAAGACTTTATTTCCAGCTGGTGTTTTTAAAACAAATCTATCCATGGAAATAGTATTAAGGACTGTTAGAAAAAGCACACTGAATTCATAGTGTAGCTGGAAACTTCTGTTTACAGTGAAAGATGACAGCTACTAATGCTTTTAGTAATAAACAACTTAATATTTAACTTTTAAACCACTGAATCAAAATAGTTAATTAAGGTTGTGTTTAAGACCATCATGAAAATGGACTCTACAAATGAAAAGAAAAGCAACATAGGAAAAATATCCTAATTCCAGTGCTGACTAGTGGTGTGAGTTTAAGAATATGCTCAGTTTTACCTTTTGTTACAATGAGCATAATAATAGTTACTATCTTTCTGAGTAGATGTGAGAATTAAAAGGGATATTTATGCAAAGAAGCTAAGAACATCTGGTGGCACACAGTATGCCTTAATAAAATGTTATCTATTACTATTATTCCTTCGTCTGTCTATATACTTATTTATGCAATTTGCATAAGTATTGAATTACTTTCCTAAAACCTTCTTTTTCTTATTCATTCAGTTACTGGATACAGAGTTTAAGAGTTATCCAATATTTGCACATAAAAGATTTGTGAGCCTACTTTCTTTTATTGCACTTTCCTGTGCTTCGAAGAAAGCACTCTTTTACAAATGAAAGTGTGTGGCAATTGTGCATTGAGCAAGTCTCTTGGTACCATTTTTCCAACAGCATGTGCCCACTTTGAGAGAACACGGCACGCACAGACTGAAGGGTACGCATAACTTTTATATGCTCTGGGGAAGAAAACAATTCATGCAACTTGCTTTGCTGGGAGATCTACTGTATTGCAGAGTTATGGAGTCCAACCTGCAATATTTCTCAGGTATATACATGTAGCTTTCGTGGTGTTCATGCAAGGAAAAATCCCAATCATGATAGATGCTTTCATCCTTGCACTTTCTTATTGTCCATTTAATTTCTTCTTTATTTAGTTCATCACTATCCAGTGTCAAACTCAACACTAAGCTCATTGACACTGAGTTGGTTTGGTGCACTGAAACCCTCCACTGGGTTTCCGAGGTGGTAAATCTTAATGGAAGGAGACTGCCCATCTTTCTCCCATGGCAGTGTTGGAAGATTTGAAAGGCTAGAGACATACAGCCTTTTGCTTGGTATCACAAGGTGCCTAAAACATTACTATCAGAGATCCTTACTATCGAGTGAAGGGTTTATCATTCTACTACAGGAACCATTCCATTCTAAACCAGCTATTTGTGTCTCTTTACATGTAAATTCTAGGAACGTTCTTCTTGACATGTTCTAGGACACCAAGGGAGTCTAGACCATGAATTTAACAGTCTTAATTCTGAGCAGTTCTTGACTAAATACAAGATTTTTGGCTAATCTAATCCTTAAACTCACAAACTCAGACAATGAGAGAAAATTTGTAGATGAAAATCCTCCCTAAGACAGTAAATTTGTGATTAAACCTCTATATCTGACTCACAATTTACAGAGAATACAGAGAGGAGAACATGCTACAATGTAACATGTTAACTGTGAACTTGAACTTGCAGAATCTAGACTATGGGAACCACCAGGAGACAGACAATTCCATTCCTTCAACAAATACATTGGAATGGAAACAAGAGAGAAACAATAAGGAGGTTAGCACAAAGGAGGGTGTTGCAGTAATAATAGTGCTCCTTCTCTGGAGGTGGGAACTGACTGACTAGTAGTTCAATGGGAGAAAGACGGCCGGTCAGTACCCAAATCCTCACAGGAGGGTCAGCTATGAGTCAGTTCTGATGCTATGGCATCCACTGTGAGTTTAAAATATTTTACAAAGCAAGTGAAATTATAATCTGTTTTGTATAGAGGTGCAGAGCGGGATGACTGAAAGTGTCAAAACAAAGGAAGAGAACTACTGTTTGTAGAAACCTGTTTGTGGTCATTTGAGGAGGTCATTATGGCTGAAGATACCTGTATTAGGAAAATTCCTATCTCCTGACTTGGTGAAGTGCTTCCTGGTGCTGGTCTTCTAACAATATTTGACAACAACTTAGATATGTGGCTTTCATTACATGTGTGACATTTAACTACACAACATTTGTCACACACTCTATTAAAGGCAGTGAAGCTGACCGTGGTTTTCTCAATGTGGTCCTGCAGCGAGTCGATGAGTAAGTCCCCCACAGGCTTCCAGCCATTCCGCACCGCCTCCACCTCCTTCATGTCCGCATCCAGGTCATCCATCGCGCCCTGCAGGTCTCGAAGCTTCTCCAACGCCTTGTCTACTTGCTTCTGCCAATTGCTAGTAACAGCATTTAGACTTTCCCACTTCTCTTTAACTTCTGAGGACTGTTTGCGCATGGCTTTGGCAATCTTCTGGGCTCTCTCCTCAGGGGTCAATTCTATGAATTTTTGTTTTAAAAAGAGAGAGAGAAAGAGAAAAATAATTTGGATACCTCAGGAAAGCAACACATTTTATAGCCAAGTAAGATATACAACACTATTTTTTGAACTGTGGCTGCCAGATAACATAACGACAGCACTGCACTGGCCAGAGGAACCGCAATTTTCCTGCTACACTTACAAGTTTACTCAGGAAAAAAAAAGAAAAATTGTTATTTTGACAAATAAACACTTCTGGTGACGTTAAAACTTTTAATCTATTCACAAAGCTTCAACTGTAACAAGTTAACATAAGAAATAATATCATTTTTCTTTAATAGAAATTTAGTTATTAAAATTCAAAGATATTTTTTCATTCCATCATCCTCAAGAGAAATGGGAAGTATAATTACCAGAGAATAGCTCTGAGTTATGAAGGAAATACTCTCAGAAAAGAAGATTAATTTACCTTAATATAATTTTTTTTTTAATATAGAAAACACAAGTGAAGGCAAGCCACATATCTTGGATACTTCATCATGTGGGAGTCTATCCAGCAGTTTATCTCTAATAAAGGGTATTTTCTGAAGCCCAGGAAGTGTACACACACGGATAAGAAATTTCAATAGGAGGCTAGCAAGATTTCAAGGACCATTCTACACAGAACTAGGGGTTTCTGGAATATCTAAAATACAGTTAGACTTAACAGACAGAAACACAGGAATAATTCAATGCCAAATAACAGGATAAGAACAAGAAGTCGACAAGTAACAGGAGAGGAAAACAGAGGATAGAAAAGGAAATCAAAGTCAAGTTCAATATATTGTTGTTGTTATGTGTAGTTGAGTCAGAACTGACCCGTTGTTGTTGTTGTTGACTGCCTTTGAGTTGAGCATGACTCATAGCGATCTTATGAAAAAAAGGCCGAAGCCTTTCAGTAACTACCAACATCAAAGTTCATAGAGTTTCC